TTAATAATGGCTCCATCAGCACAAAACGGATTAACGAGTATGGAAATAAACGTTCAAACCAAAAAAAAAAAAAAAAAAAAAGAAAAAAAAACAAAAAAAGAAAAAATAACAAAAAAATAACAAAAAAAAAAGTTTCCTTCGTATAGCACATGCACTTATAAATAAACGATCTCTACTTTTCTCACATGTTTTTACTACTGCTGGGGCCTTCCTACACCCTTTGAGGGCTATTTTGTACTACTTGCAGCAATTTTGCGTAGTCAAAGTTTCATCTCACGTGCGTTATATTATATATATGTACGTATCTATATAGGGCGATGCGCCGGGGCGGCCTTGGCCTCCGCGCGGGAACGTCTCCCTGGGCCCAGGCCACCGAGACGGGGAAAAGCGTTCCTTCGTCCTTAAAGCGAAAAAAAAGAAAAAAAAAATAAAAAAAAGAAAAAAAAATAAAAATCCCAAGCGCAAAGAGGAAAAACGCAAACCTACGCCTGCCTGGAGGGTTCAAAGTACCCACCAGTTCTCTTTCTCACAAATATTGAAAGGAAAAAGCTGCAAGGGTGCAAGGGCCTAATAAGAGAGGAAGAAAAAAAAACAAGGGAAATTTCTCTTCAAAATTCTAATCAAAAGCCTAGACTAGTTGGTTTCTTTCAAACGAATTAGCTAATTGCAATGAAATGGCAGTCCTCAAAGGAGTAACAAGTTCATCTTTCTTTCACCATAGGGGTTACAGTTCCTTGGCTTGTGCTACTCTGGAATCATTTTACTGTTTCTGTTTTTATTATCTTAAGTGCTAATTAACAAAAGGAAAAAAAAATATATCCTGTAGTTTCATTACCTTTTTGGATAATGATGTCATACAAAACAAAACAAAACTAAAAAAAACCTATGTATTTGTGTTTTTTTTGTGCTGTGAGAATTGTTGTTTGTAGATTAATAATACTATCATTTTGTTTAGAATTACAAACTAGTTTTTAAGTATTGTCTGAGAAAAGCCAAAGTTAATGCAATCTAGTGGAACCTGTAAGACCATTTGCGTATTGTTTCTGTTTTATTGATGCATTTGGATTTTGTTGTTTGATGGAATTTGAGCCAAAAAAAAAAAAAAGAAAAAAAAGAAAAAAAAAAAAAGCAGGCTTTCCTATTTCTACGACTTGATTGTACTTATGCATTTTGTACCAGTGGAACTTTTTATACTGGAGATTAAAAAACAAATGGAAATTTTTGTGGCTTACTCTTGTGGGCCCCCTTGATCATGACTGATTTTCAGGTTTGATTTCCGGACGGTAGAAAGAGAGTTGGTTTTGTTTAGAGAATTAAAAACTTTGGCTTGATTTCTTTTTTTCCCTTTGCTTCTATCTAGTGTTTAGAATTTTTGTCTTTAAAAACAAAGCAAAAAAACACAAAAAAAAAAAAACAAAGCAGAGCGGTAAGTTTCACTTTTTATTCTGTATCGTGCAGTTACACAATAAGGTAATTAGAATTAGGAGTACTCGGTCACTCTGCGTGGATAAATGTATTAGTTAACGCCGTTAGGGGTTTGCTTTTTTGCTGTGTAGATCAGAGTTTTTTCTGATTCTCCTGTCCTCATTGTGAACATAACCGTGTAGTTGGAACAAGTCAGACTTATTTTTGTAACGTATGTTATTGTGTGATGCAGTTTTTTGCTTCTGTCTCCAATATTAAACCATTTTCCTAATACTTGTCTCTCTACTTTGTGTGTCGTATCGTTGGTGGTCATTATGTGTTGGTAATACATCTGCACACCTCACTGTTGCACGTCCCTGTTTTATTTATTTATCTATTTATTTATTTATTTCCTTTTTTTCCTCTCTATTTGTTGGTCGTGTACAAAAGATACAGTCGATTCCACCTAAGTGAATAGCTGATTTGGAGGGGGAGGGGGGGGGCAAAAGAGGATTTGTACATTTTAGACACGGTACG